GAAAAACAGTAACGGTCGATTGTCAGTTTTGCAAGTACATGTAAAATTGTTTTTCTGCCAGATTTTTAAGTGTTTAAACGAAGTGCGAATGGGGTCATTTGCAATTTTGTCTTTCTGAACGTTAAGCCAAATTTTCTTTTCAAGTTGTGGAACTGGGTAAAATGCGGAACTGGATAAACAACGCTGTACATCATGGAGAGAGGGTTTTCCGATCTTCGCGCACTGAGAGCGTTGCATATGCAAGCCTACGTGTGGCCTTCCAACCAATGGAAAGATTCGTTACGCACTATGTACACGTGCATTGCACGTAACAAAGCCTCCTATTGGTTCATGTTAATATTTGGTCCAGATATATTGCGTATGCACTTAGGTGGGTGTGCAGACGATATGCATGGCAGTGCAAAGTGAAGTTTACGAAGAAATTTTACGGGTTCTTCGCGATCTTCATATCTTCACGATCGATCCCTCGACCAAGATGCTATTTTATTTGGGTTCTTATCGGGAATACGTGCCGGCCGGAAAAGTTGATTTGGCAGATTGTGGCGGTCAGCAATTCTGCGTGCTGGTCGGGCCCGACCGGCAGATCCCTGGAGCATGTCAAATGTTAATAGGCCAAAAAACATTCCAATAAGAATATTATAGAAAGTAGGTTTGCGGTAGCACCATGGACGTATCTCTTTTGTGAGTATTTGTGGTTCTGAAAAGAACCAGTAGTATTCGACGTTTCGAGCAGTATGCTCTGCTCGTCATCAGGAAAATGCCGGATACTGAGAATATTGCTTGATCCAATTTGGAATGACTGCTTTTCTTTTAGAATAATATGTGTTCTTAAATAAGAAAACTTGTCCGTACAGTGTATGTCTGCGATGGTGCTTTCCTAAAGGTAATGAATTCCCATTCAGAATACTTGTCTTTCACAATGGATCCTTCCAGTGGGAACAGTAATTTTCCATTTTTTGAGATATTCCCCGAACCAGCAGTTTTCAAAACAGCCAGGGTTGAACTAAGCCACAAGAGTTCCCCTGAGTCAGAAGTCATACCGTATGTATAAACAATGCACAATATGAAGTTACCTTGTGTAATCTCATCCTCTTCTTCAGATGTTCCAATTTCTCGCTTCACTGGCGTAATCTCTTCCACTTCAACCTCAGCTGTGGCTGCTCGCTTCCTTTTTCTGCTTCTGCTAGCCATAACGTGTCACAAAGACTATCTTGCTCTTCAAAATCTGTTTGAATATTCACCACATAAACAACCAACATAAGATTAGATTTGAAGTAACATAGACCCTAGTGACAATAAGGTTTTATGTCACTTTAAGAGATGGTGGCCATGCAACAGTCCACCACTTACATACACGTTGGCAACAAATGTCTGCTTTTCCATGTTGAATTGATGCCTTTGAAACCTTTAAGCGAAAAAGTTTTGGTTACATTCCTTTCAAAATAGAGAGTCAGGGAGCAATTTATTTTGCGCTGATTGAATGAGATATTGGTCATAGACTGGTTGCCACATTTCTATGACTTCTTTGGCAATTTTAGTACATGGTGTAGCACAAAGGAGTACAGTATTGCTTCATTATTAAACGCACGTTTTCATCACCGCAATAACAAACTGCAAAGAGAACTTTTGAATACAATGGAAATTTCTTCTTAAAATAGCAAATGTAAGAAGGCAAACAAATAAATATAAGTTTTTCTGATTCAACAAGATTGGGTGCAAAATAGACAGGCTCTCCGTATAGGCTACCATCAGTTAACCATACAAAGGAGTCTGTGTAATGTGCAAGTTGGGCCAAAATTTGTCCGGAGCTGGGAAAATGCCAACTGAAGGCAACATTTTTTCCTACAAATGAGAAAAGGGCGAGTTTTCTGCAAATAGTAACCTAGACATGCTTTTTAGCAGTGTAAGTAGGCCTATAGTAGATTAATAATAATAATAATACACACTTATAAAGCGCCATCTATATAGAAAACTAATCCAAGGCACTAGAAGAGAAGGTAAAATCAGGTTGATGACACTTATGAAGTACCAATAAAAGAACGCTTGAACAGAAAAGTTTGATTTAAAAGTTTCAATCGATTACTGCTGCAATTTCAGCTCATTAAGATTCAGCAGATATCTGATAATATCCCCGGACCCATCTCAGGTAAACTGGATCGAAATAAATCACTATCAATAGGGACAGGACCTGGTATACATGGTATATAACAATGGGGTAACTTGTAGGGCTCTGTTTGTCATGGTTACATGTCTAACTCATTCATGGGGTGCTTTCTACATACAATGTACATGTTGTACTTCCTGTGACAGCTACAGTAGGCCTACTTACTTCCACAAAGTAGGCCTATGACCATCATAGTGAACATAGTAGTGAAGTGGGGGCTGAGGGAAACCCAAGGGAAAAATGGAAAGCGGGCTAACCTATGCCTCACTTTTAGTGTTTGATCTAAAGTTGTTATTTATTATCAATCATGCTGAACATACCCTGCATACAGTTAATCAACCTGACAATGCAGCGCAAATCGTGCAATTTAAAAAATAAAATCTGCTAGTCCTATAGGTAAGCCTAACGCGCTACTGTTGCTTTCACACCTCTAAATGAAAGCTGAAATTATAACTACGTTATTACTTACAATGTACGCTATGCTCACCTGTCAATCACGTCAAATACGGCACGACCGTAAACCAAAATATTACGGTCCGTCTTTACTCGCTTTGGTGTTCAGGTTGGCGCCATGTTTCCCTATTGAAAAGGCGCCACCAAACGCTCAGATGTACCCAGTTATAAAATTAAAAAGGCGCATACTCCAAACAGGGATTGTGAAGGGGACTCACCAATGGGGTTACAGGCGTCTGTTACCAAGGCATATAAAACAAGGGTTTTTGTACCTATATCAGCAAGATTTGTTTTGTTAGTCAGCAAAAACTCTAATTTACGTCATTTTCTATTACCAAAACGGATCAAAGACATTCCTATCAACTCCCCCAATACTGTAACTGAAGATGGGTGTACCCTCATGGTTTAAATTTAAAAAGTAAGGCAAAATAAAGTACAAGAAACAAATTATCACAGAAATTTATTTTGCCGTAGTAGTTGAAACCTGGGCTGATCATCCCATTACCCTATTAAGAAAAAATATATAAAATCATTAATTACCAGTTGGCTAAGGGACTAAACAAGTAATCGAAATTAAACAAAATCACGGTATTTTCAGATTCTTGATTGGACATAGCCGCAAGGCATCATTATCCAGTTTGACTTCGTGCCAGTGCCGTGCAAGCAAGAAATTAGGGTTGTGCTATACGATGTTTTGGGGGGCTATCTTGAATCCAGATGATGTTGGTTGATGAACAAGATGATTGGGGAGCTTGCTCCAGTCTACAATCGTTTTTGGAAAAAAAGCTTTGTTGATATGCCTGTGTACGGCACTGCGAAGATGCATAGCATTGGTCTTGTCTGCCTCTCTGTGGTCTTTCCACTGGAGTGAAATAATACGGGATGTGGACAGCAATTTCTTCACGATAAAAGGTTGTGAGTTTACTGGTTTTTCTACGATATTGAAGGGTTGCCCATCAGAGATTTTGCTGCATATCCGTAACACTTGACATTCTTTTGCAGTAACCCGTTACAAATCTTGCCACTTGCCTCTGTACTTTTTCCGGTTATTAATGTAATTTGACTGATGGGGATCCCAGACTGCAGCTGCATGTTCTAGCTGAGGCCGAATCAAGGTTTTATAGGCCCCTTCTTGAACGGCTGACTCACATCTGGAACCAAGTGTTCTATTAGCCTTGTTTACTAATTGATTGGAAATGGAGAGACCAAGACAAATCTTTTGAAATTTGGTAGACATTATCAAAATATTTCTTGCCTCTTTTCATGGGCATCGTGTGACTTTTTTGTGGGTTAAAAGACATCTGCCATTTTGCGAGGCCAAGTCACAAAACTATCCAGGTATTTCTGTATGTTGCTGGTCGCTAGGGTGAACAATGGGGCGAAATAATAGGCAGTCGTCAGCGAACAGCTTGATTTTAGTATCCTCGCTAATGTTATCACAGATGTCATTAATGTGGAGTAGAAACATCAACGGACCTAAGAGAATGCCCTTTGGTACTGGAGTAGGGTCTGACGCTTCTCCATCTACAACAACTTGTTAAGTTAACCACGTTCTGATCCGAGACAAAGTGTTGCCCCTAATCCCATAATATTCTGTTTTATGAAGTAATCTCTCACGAGCCACTGTATCAAATGCTTTGCTGAAGTCGAGCACTTGCACATGTATCTGATTTTTTATTTTGATCTATAAGTACCGGTGAATTTCTTCATGAATGATGTTTAAGGAGCCCATGCTGATAGTGTTTCATGATATGATAATCTTCAGCATGCATCATGATGTGGTGGAAGATGATATGTTCGGGTAGTTTGCAGGCTACTGATGTGAGAGAAATTGGTCTGTAGTTACTTGGCAGTGATCGATTCCCTTTTTTGAACACTGGACAAACATTGGCTGATAACCAGTCTTATGTTTCGCAATGTACAAAACAATCTCCAATCTTCTGGTTTATCAGTTCTTTTTACTCTGTTTTAGATCCTCTTGCGCTTCCCCATTTGCTTTTTGATGTTGCTCGTTATCCCTCGTGCGGTATAAGATTATACCGCACTTATTGTGTAAGCTGACGCAAATCGATTCACCTTTCTTAAAAAAACGAAACACTGCCTTGGGTTTTTATGGGCGCCCTGGGAGGCTAGTACAATTTCTGTCATTAAACATAATGACTGTCGCTTTTGTGTTTCGACACGCGTATAGATCGATAGATCCATCATGGGAGGAATTACATTCGCGGTAGGGGGGTTAGCAAACCAATCACTCTACTATATGCAGTCCTGTCGACAGCCAATGAGGGACCACCTATATTACGAAAACAAAGATGATTTCTGATATATATTGAAACGACAAATACATCAGAGGCACGCAACCTCCTTCTTGTTCGCTCGAAGCCTAAGATACACGCTGAGTAGCTGCTAACCTTCGTCTTTGCGCATGCACGCGCAGACTTCTTCCTATCGCACAGTAAAATTGCTATCCAGCGTACATATCGTTTAGATATGATTGGGCTGATCCGCACTAAAGAAATTAGAAGATGAAAATGAAGAGTGCTTGGGTTAAAAAGTAACACAATCTTTTCGGTGAAACTCAGAATGTAAGGTTTGCATGTCACAATGGAGTCAATATGGACGTTTATTTTGCATTTGTCTCTTTATGCAGTTGTCATTCAGGCACAAACCCCATCAAATGAGCTTTCAAATACGACTAAGATGATATCGGGAAATGTGACTGCAGTGGATGCTGGAGACCTAATGGTTAGGCCAACCATACTTGAAGGAAGTTACCTCGACCGTGGTCAACATACATCTCAAGCAAGGACTGAAGACGCAAGCACCATTCCGCCAAATTCCGAATCGGTTCCTCTGGTTAATGACACTGGGGTCCCAACAACATTTCGGACCCGTGATTCACCAAATGTACCTACCGAACGTGGTCCATTGACCACTCTGTTACCCAGCTCAAGGACCAAGGCGTCCGCAGATGATTCTTTCACTTATCCAGCAAGTCAAGAGAAGATACCGATCTATTTGAGCGGTTACTTCAGCTTTGGGGGAGGATGGGAAGGAAGTGGCATGTTACCAGCTTGTCAGATGGCCCTAGATCACATTAATCAACGGTCAGATGTCCTGCCAGGGTACGAATTGAAGCTGATTTGGAATGATACTCAGGTAGGTAGATAATTGTTACATGTACATGTATACACAGCTATTTTGTCTGATGTTCTTTCCACCTCTGAAATATAAAAAGCTAGAGTTACCTTGCATGTTGCTTCAGTCAATGGCGATCCCCACGTAAGAATATCGTCCATGTAGCATCAAAACGAGGCCTGAGGAAATCAATCTGCAGAGGGATTACATCACGATGGCGTCTGGTTTTAAACTATTTGTGTAATTTTTCATAATTAATGCGGTGATGCTGTTTAAATAAAAGCTTAGCAGCACCTGTACAAGCCACCTGTAATTCAATCTATTAGTAATATTAATATTCCCTGAGTAAGTAAAAGCTTTATGGGGCTTCAAGCATGGGCCATTCTGTATAGATGTACATCAATATCATGAACATCGATCTCTATATAATGTCGTATGTTGTCATATCCCCCTGCTTTTCAAATTTAATGGTCAGGCAAGTCACCCGCCCCAATTTCCGGCACAAATTAATACTCCCGCTGCTCCTCCTTTCAAAAGAAACAACCTCCACTCATTTTGTCGGATCGAGATTTGGTCAAAAATGTAGGTTGGATATAGTGATGCTGAATACGAATTCAGAAGAATGCATTCAAAAAGCGACCTTTGAAATGTTCCTCTCTCACGTTAAGACATGATTTAGAGATTCAGATTTATATAAATTCCCATCTCCAAGGCAAAAGTCGGGATATAATCATGAAATTCCCATCTCCAAGGCAAAGGTCGGGATATAATCATGAAGACTCTCCAATGTTATTATAATGATACTTTTGCAGAAAAATACCCAATGTTGTTGGTGAAGTTTGAAAAAAAATTCTGAATCCATTATTAGAAACACGTGGAGGTATGTCGGACACTAAATGGGGTTTCCGAAGAGGAAAACGACATACATTGGTTTTAATGCCAGAACGAAAACAACTGGAGCAGGCGCATGCGCCTTTTAAATGGTACCGGCACCACTGCAATTCCGACTTGGGACATGCCAATAGAATTTGACACGACAGAAATCCGGCGTTTGAAGCCGTGCCGCTCTTCTGCCATTAAAACTAGCAAGGCCATGTTTGCTTCAAATATGGACGTAAATCTTGGGGGTGGTGGTCGTGGAAGTAAATCTCCCCACTTCTTTTTGAGGTGGGGGATGGGCTATCATCCCCCACATATTTTTTCGTGATGAGCAAAAAAAAAATTAAAGCGGATTGTGAAGAATTTACAGGATTTCTCACTGACAAAAATGTTTACATTATCACTAAAAAGGAAAGCAATTGAAAAAGCCATTCTGATGTAAGATTCTACATGAATTTGATACACATTTACAGATGGACATCTTTATCATGAACATCGCCCCTATATAGTGTGTAACTCACGCTTTTCAGATTTCCATAGTCAGGCAAGTCATCCCCTCATCTTTCCCCATTCCACGTCCTCCCAATTTCCAACACAGATTTACGGCTACTGTATACTGGTTTCAAACGTAGACTTTCTGTCGTGTCAAATTCAAATTCGGCACCATTAGGTACGACAGAAGTTCGACGTTTGAAGCGGGCGTTACACAGACATTTATTACAACCTAATTGCATAAAAAATGAGAAGCACTTAGATGAAGCTATACTGCAAAGGCATGCGTCCTGAATGACTTGGAGACTAAATCACAAATTAACGGCGTCATGTAATTTTATATCGCCGAAAATGTAAACCAAAAACTGGTTTCCTCTTGGCATTATTTTGACGTCATCGAATGAAAAAAAAACAAGTCTCACAGCTGTCAACGCAGTAGGTACTTCACAGTTGTAATACCGATATCGTCGGAAGTTGATGTCTCATAAACGGATCTGTCAAGAGAGAACATTTTTCCTTATTAACTACAATTGTGATCATTTAAACCCGGCACAAAAATATCAAATTACGAACCCCAAATGTCTTGCGAAGAATAAAGAAAATGCCTGGTTTTTAGCTAAGGTCAAACAATGGTTTCTGATTAGAATATTTCCCTCCACTTTAGCCAGAGGTTATCACACGGGAAAAACGTCTTTCACCACTCAGTTTGATTAGAAATGTGACCGTGGGTATGAATTTGGCGGGGATGGGGACAATGTCCCTTCTCCTGTTTGGGACCCCGAGATTTTATCCGTAAACTATCCACCTGTGGTATGTCTACCCGATCACTCAATGTAAAATGAGTTTTGAAAAAGAACAGTAATTTGGAAAGGGGCTCCGAGCCCTTAAAAATTCAGAAAATTAATGTAAAATGCAAAGACTTCTCCAAACTCCTTACTGATACAGCGATCGAAAAATAAGAAAGTTAGAGGGTCTGACGTTCCAATCCCAGAAGAATTGTTACCAAATAAAGCAAAACATGTAATGATAAACGTTTGATAAAGATTCTTGCTAGGATCGAAGTAGCAAGCCCTCTCAGAGATAACAAAATAATGTATAAATTAATGTGAAGCAATACCACACGCCGGAGTATATGAAGTGGGATGTAAATCATCGCAAATTTGCTTTTATCAGCGACGCAATTTTGCTTTGAAAATTTTCATCCCGTAATGTGCAATCGGCCAACAAGGTTCCCGGGATTACCTATGCCTTTCACGATGCTTGTTCACGTGTATCAGTTTATGGCATTTCAGTTCGTTTCTGAATCTGTACATGACGTTCCGGGCCGATGTCTATTTTTTACTGTAGTCTGATTTAAAGCTTGCATTATATATAACATAGGGGTGGACTGAATATGTAATATCTGCTCTATTCCGATCAATCCCACTGTCGTAAAAGAATGACACGTTGATCAGATCTTCCCCTATAAACTGTGCCATACATGTCAAACGTGTACACGTATACAGGCCTTGGGTTCAAACCAGTTCTCGTTTGTGTCATCTCCTGGCAGTTCGATGGCATACATTATCACTTTTGAATTGATGTCTGCCATTTTATATACACTGGTTTTTAATTCGTATTTTTGAGAATTGCTAGAATTTATGTGAAATGAATTTAATTACAATTCACAATGAGTCCAATATATACGGAGAAAGAGGGATGAATTCATCCTTATTTTTCTATTTTACTTTTCGTTCTGTAACTACTAAGTTTACCTACAATGTAAAACAAGACAAAAACATCACGAATCCTCTATTTAGGATCCTCGGAAAGAATAATATAAACCTTTCTGCCACCTGCTTGCAAAATCTATGTATACAACTCCCACACACTGTGCAAAACCTAGGTAAATATAAGGCCTTGTTCGAATAAAACGGCTGAGGGGGCATTGGAGCTAGCTACGGCTTCAGTCTGGCTGTGACCTACATAAACGCGTGTTATTTAAAGCCACAGCCATGACATTCCGAATCAGCCCTACTCATTGAGCTATTCAATGATTGAGCTATTTAATTTTATTCAATCATATATCATATGTACATAATAGTCCTACTTTAAAAATCAACCTTTGTTCACTGCAATGTATTCACCTAGTGTGAGCCTGGACTGGGAACTCGGGTGTTCTTCGATCAACTTTATCGCAAACCAAAGAAGACCATGATCATCGGCGCACCGTGCTCGCCCGCCTCTCAGATAATTTCTGGCACCGCCCATTTTTGGAACCTGATCGCAGTGAGTTTGCAAGAAGATCAAAGAAGAGCACTCAATTTGACACCTAAATTTAACCAAAGTAGTGAAACGTTAAATGTTTAAATGTGAAAGTTAAGAAAATGTTGTTATTGAAAATTTTCTCTTTCGGATTTTAGATCCCATCACACAAGCCAACACAGCACCTACCTTTTTTATTTTGATCTTGTTTTCTATTTTGATCTATTCAACTCTTCAGGTTTCCCCATCTGCAGCCTCTCCCGGCTTGTCCAATCGTGAGAAGTACCCATTATTCTATCGTACCTACATGCCCGATGCCACGTTTAATCCCGCGAGAATCCGTTTGATGCGAGAATTTGGATGGAAGAGGGTAGCCACAATTCACGAAAACCATGAAGTGTTTTCACTGGTGAGTCAAAACAAAGAAAAGGAATTGAAGCCTTATATATCGGCAACTCTTAGCAATTAAATGGTAGAATTAGCGCTGTTTTCTATAGTTCTAGTCATAATTGAACACTTCAAACTCTTCTGTGAAATACACTATGAACCTTTAGGATGTTTTTCCAAATCTATTGCAAAAAAACTCGCTGCACACTCGTTGAAATCAGCAAGTAGTCTATGAGGAGAAGACGGTTGTATTAAAATGGCTCGTTGCATGGTAACATTAATCGCCACTGGCCAACTTAATAAACTATTTCGTATCGGCTATTCAACATAACGAGCAACCTATGAACGTGATTCAACTCTGTGCATGACCTGATTGTTAATTTAATTATTGAAACAACAGGACAGAGTCTGGATTTGAGATTGAGGTACCCCCAGTGGGATTTGTTTCCTTTGTTTTTTAAGATTAGTTTGTTTTTCAAATAGTTGTGAGGAAGTGGATTCAAAACCCTTCAGTTGAATGCAGCCTAAAAGAAATTGATTAACACTCTTTATTAAAAATCATCCCTCACATGAAAATGTACACTTTTACATTAGGGAAATCTTTAAATGACGCTCGTGAAGTAGTCATGTCAAATAACATCCTTTCTGCCCAGTCTTATCTTGGATCTTCGTCGAATTTAGATCTTTTATTCAGTCGATGATCTTTGTTGTCCTGTTTTGGCTAAGGCTATCGATGACCTGCTGACCTTGCTAAAAGAAGCAAACATCACCATCATCTCATCAGAAAGTTTCTCCGAAAATCCTAAGAACCAGATAGAAAGTCTCAAGGTGAGGGACACAGCAGCGGCGTTTCCAGCTTTTGGCGTCGGGGTAAATTCAAAGCAAATGTGGCTGTGGGCTCGTTATTAAAGTTATGAAAACACAACGTTGGGGAGAAAAAATGCCAACATCCTTGCTTTTATTTCATGGTGTTGTTTTCTTAGGATGTTGGTACTAATATTTGATAAATATATATACCGATTACATTCTTACCTATAAAGTATTCTTTGTAAAAAAAACCCTGAGGGGAAAGTTTCCCCTCGCCCAGCTGGATACGCCAGCGACACAGAGATGACCTGAATAATTTGTTCATAAAACCAGCTTTACACGTGCTGTAATGCTGTGTTGTTCTTGTTGATGATATTATGATTGTTCATTTTTTGATTACAGCGAGGACACAATGAGCGCTCTGCATTCCTGGATACATTCAGGATAAATTCCCAACATATTGCTTATTAATTAATAAGTAATATGCAGTGCACGGTATGCTTCAGCAGATCCCTGTAAGTGGGGGATTGGGAATGCCAAGAACGAATGTAATTAGAAACAAATAATTACAAACGAAAATGGCTGACAACCTCAGCATTATTTAATGCACTTTTTTTTTTCAGAGCCAAGATGCTAAGATAATAATTGGCAACATGTATGCAAAGACAGCAAGGCGACTATTTTGTGAAGTAAGTTAAGATGCTTTTCTCTGCACACATTTCTAGTACCTTTTCCTGTCATTTCAATTGAGAATTTTATAGATGTCTTCTTTCTTTATAATTAGCATCGTGCAAAATATCATTCAGAGAATTAGCACAGTTCATTCTGCCCCACAAAAGAGATACAAAGTGTGCTTATCAATGTTTGGTCAAAAGGTTGTCTTTGACGATACATTGTACATTGTATTAATTGCCCCATACAATGAAGAATTTCCGAAATACCAATCGTGCCCACAAACAAGAAAAATCTGAGGGAAACTAATTCGTTATTACGAATTTCATGTAGTAATTCGTAATAAAGGATTAGTAATTCATAAAAACGAATTAGTAATTCATAATAACGAATTAGTTGAGCACAGTTTTATTTTTGGTCTGTGGCACGATTGGGCTTTTGTAAGAATTGCCAGAACTTAAATTGTTTTCAAATTTGGGCTCCTACCGATTTTTTCACCCATGACGGGACAGCTTGAACAGTTTTCATCATTGTCATGTATTAGGCATACAAGCAGGGCATGACCAGTGGGGACTACGTGTGGATGTTGATTGGCTGGTATCGAGACAAATGGTGGTCAGACGAGGACAATACAATCACGTGTTCAGTCCATGAGATGAGGATGGCCGTAGAGGGCGTGCAATACATTTCGACAGAGTCCCTTCCTCTCTGCACTTCGAAAGAACCGACGGTGGCTGGAATTGTGAGAATCTGTTTGAATATTGAACCCGTTGCTTTTCTCTTTGAGTGATGGGCAAATGTTTCGAGAAAGATATTGCAAAATACCAAGTGGGAATCAATTTTGGAGGCTGGAGCCTCTCACTAGACGCAGGTGACTTTGGGTTATTAGAATGAAAAATAATGAGGCTCAGAACGACAGCGGAACCGGAAAATAAACTGAAAGCTAAATCTTTAACAATGGCGCAGGTGTTTCAATCGGGGCCATTTGTCAATAACAGCTAAAGTCCCTTCAAAAATGAGGGCATTTATATGTAAGGATAGTTGAAGTGGTTTTAATGAACCCGTATTAAGGACAAATTTGTCGAATTCTTCGCCGTCATTTCCCCAAGAGCACTGCGGGACTCATGTGAGTCACTTATTCAGTTTAATTTGTGAGCGTACAGTAAAAACATCTTGATTAGAAATTTTATCGTCCTTTGAAAAAAGTTGAGCCCTAGAGTTTTAAATAGGAGGGGGAGCATAATAGCTTCAGATAATAAGTAAACCTAACATGAACAGTTTAACTTTATTGAGCTTCAAGAGGCACAGAATTTCTCAGAATTGTTACTTGGCAAAATTAATGGCCAGCCGGATAATTTTTACCTTCCAGCTGCTTCTAATATAACAGAAAATATTTCCCAAAGCTAGCCTATATGAAAATATTTGTTTTGGTTTGTTTCTGCAGACTGCAGCAGAATATGAAATGTTATACAAAGATCGAATGGCATGGCTTGAGAACCGGGAATATAGATGGAACAGTCTCGGTCCATTCGTCTATGACGCTGCCTGGGCTATCGCCCTGACTTTCAACAAGTCTGTGGAAGTGCTCAAGACGAAAAGGTGCAGACTGATAAAATTATTCAGGTCTTCATAAAACTCCCCTTTTAAACAAGTAGTCATGCTGTCTGAAACTGCATGTTATTTAACACATCAAGGTGAACTAAACTAAATTTTGACTATGGCTGAAGCTTAGTCTTAGTGACCTTATTCATCTAAGAATGGCATATTCTTTTTCTTTGATATTTGTTAGCTGTTTGACATTTATAATAGAAAGTAGGTTTGCCGTAGCACCANTCAGGAGAATTCTGAATCCAAACAATGCAAACCTTCAAGACTTATCTGTTTGACATTTATTAGAGAGTTTCATAAACCACACTAGCCAATGTAAACAGTCAGTCTCATTTGACTGTGAATTTTCTGTAAGAGCAAACAACTCCGTTAAGAAGGAAACAACGATGTTGTGTAACATTTAATCCCAGGGTTGGGGTGGAATGGAAGAATTTTTCTTTCTCTAAATCTATCAATATGATATATTTGATAGTTTGTTAACCGTTTGACATTTAATTTGGAACTCCATGAGATACACTACAGTAGCCGAGGTAAAAACAGTACAAGGTGTGCGTCACGCCAATCGCATCTGGCTGTAACATTACGATGCTGGAAAATGAATTTGTTAAGACCAATCAGTGTTGTTTACCCTTCTGATGGACGAGCACTGAAAGTTAAAACACAATGAATGTTTGTGCAAATTTCAATACCTACCACGGACGCTGAAAAGGAAAAAAAATGGCTGTATATGGCAATATATTTATTCATAAAGCACTTGATTGCGTAAATGGCGAAATTTCACGAAGAAAAGAACTTACAACCGTCTCTTTATTCATTCCATCAGCCGAGTTTTTAATCAAATTTGTAAAACAGACGTTATCGTTTCCTAAACGCAAAGGATGGGCATTAGCAACAAAATAATACACTCGAAAAACTTGTCAGTAGGTTTCCGTGTTTGTAAAAAGATTCATTCTGATTTGTATAATTGGACTTTTGCTTCTTTGAAAAATTCCTGAGAAGGTTTTCAGATGGTAGCCTCAGACGCCTGGAGGATTTCTCCTATGAAGACAATGAAATGTCCGAACTGTTCTTCAACCTTCTGAATGAAACGGAGTTTAAAGGTGTTTCTGTAAGTTTACATCTTCGGTTTTACATGTTTTTAACTATACGGATCTTCAACACTTATTACACAATATATGGTGGGTCTGTACTAATATATCTGAAATTCAGTATGTAGACTAAATGCGTAGTTTTTCGTCATTTGATATTTTCTACGACAAATAACATCGTTTGGCAAGTAAGCATCTTTTCAGCTTGAATTTAATCTTATTTCTTCAAACACTCTTAGTGTTCCAAAGAAACTTTACCTCATGGATGCATGCTCATCGTTAATTTCTGTAATCTTATTTGCAAGTTCGTAAGAACTGACGTCTTTGGAATTACAGCTTATTACCAGGAAGTATCCAAGCGGCAAATTTCGTTGAGTCAGGCTTTCGGATGCTTGATGCACTTTCCATCCATCAAACTATTGCTGCTGAAGAAGAGGGAAAATTTTGATGAATAAATCTCCAAGATTACTCAAAATGACGGTGGAAGGAATATGAAGAGAATATACATCACTGATTTTGATTGAAAAGTGCAACATGATGAATAGCTATTTTTGGAACAGCCATAGCGCAAGGGGAATAAATGAAACGGGACAGGTGTGGGTACAAAATCTAATTGAAACCAAAGTACAGTAACTGGTATGATGTTGGAACTGGAAAATATTGTCCGCTACAAGGAAAAATTTGAATGTCGTAGTCATTTGCTTTGGATAAAGCAATTTCATATACATAACAAACAACATGGGGCAATCTTGAGCGGGTTTAGAGTTTGGATTTATGTTTTCCCCTTCAATAGCGATGACCTTCCCCCCCCAAAAAAGTTATGCTTCTGGTAGAATTTTTATAATGTATGAAGCATCATTCGTGAACAGGACAGAACCTGTCATCTCTATTCTTCGGTTTATTATCTTGGTTGTTTGATGTTGTGATAGTACATTTTGTATATCGCCAAGTATCGCATGAAGTTATCACTGTGTGCTTCCATGAGTGATGTTGTTTCTAAAACTAGTTTCTCTTTTATTCTCATTACGCAGGGGCCCGTAGCGTTCAAGAGAGGCGATAGAGTTGGCATCATACAAATAGAACAGTTGCAGGGTAATAAATTTCATTTCAGTTTGAATTGGGCTTCACTGGCTTTTTCCAATGAGGTTTGAGCCAAGTCACATGCTATCTCGTTATTGAATATATTGCCTCCATTGTTTCATTTAATAAATATTCCCAACTGTATTTCCAACGGTTCTAGGCGTCCCTTGGGCATTAAAAAATCATGTCACACACCACGGCAGTCAATAGTTGTTGTTGTACTTCTGTCTTGAATTCATTGTTACACTTTCTTCATCTGAAGGTCTCGAATTTAATCGACTCCGCGAGTATCTTGGTCCCTTGTTATACAGAAAATTGTACGACTTGCACGGAATTGGCGCATCGCCTTATCGGTTTATTGAGTTTGTCACACGTGTCAGTACTATTCTCGAAAACTGCATTTAGGGGAAAAGTCTGCACGTGTCTTCAAGATCAGCAGACTTTACGTCAAGAAACCTATACGAAGTAAAACGTTTTAATGAACTTCAACTGTCAACAAAAACCTGCAGGGCTGTCAGGCCAAGCTCACAATAACTGCATCATGTTTGAGTGTGGGTAAGGAATATGAAAGCGCGGTGTGCATTGTGATGTGATCTCCAGCCTTGGGTGTAATATGCGTTTTGTCGCCCGGTCTTTTTGATTGCTCTGTGCAAGTGAATATACAGTTTTCAATATAACGTTATATGGTATATAACTGGAAAATGAGCCATGTCTTTTCAACCTTAAAGGTAATTGTGCTGAAGGTTGGGAAAAATATCGGTCTGCATGTTTCAAGTTTGTGACGGAGCCCTTTCTTTCTTCTACTGAGGCACAAGCTCACTGTACCATGCTGAGCTCATCTGCATCACTCGCCCATTTCGACAATGAGAAGGAAAATGAGTTTCTTGTCAACAAGTCGAATTCTAAACCAGATTTCCCTCAAAGATGGTAAGTCTGATTATACAAAGGTAGCAAAACGTATTTTTGGACACAATGCGACAGCAGGAATCAAATGAGTTTATCGGAATCTGTGCAAGAAGTAGAATCAATAGGCAATTACAGCCTTGAATTCTTTTTAATCGTTTTAGGTTGGTGAGAGTCTTACATAAGTTGGGTGATGATGTCGGAAATGCTTCTTGGGTTCCAAACGACAGTCCACCTGGCGTCATTGAAAACGGTGCATGCGTGTATGTTGATTATCAACTAGGCGGGAAGTGGCAGACGATAGACTGTTCTGAACCTTTGCCTTTCATTTGTCGTGATCGTGCAGGTAAGTCTTACTAGGCAGTGTGGAAATAGAAAGAATGTACCAACTGAAAATGCAGTGTTTGCAGCATTTGAAGTTTCTTTCAGGTTTCGAAGCCATAAGCCCCAGTAATTCACTTTAACGTATTCTGCATTGTTGGATTTCGTGGCTTCACAATGCACATTTTCGATTTAAGTTTTATTTGTTTTTGTTACACAGTTCAATCTAAACATTAAAAGCTGAATTTTTTTTTGCGTGTAGAATTTTCTGAAAAGCTGATTGCATTTTACAGCGCACTAGAAGACAGTTTAGAATGGCGTGGTGACATTGAATGGCCGGGTAAGTTTACGGAGGTACAGTCTTTGTCTAATTTAATTACAACAACATTTGGAAACCCGAAGGCTTTGTCGGAGATCATAATGAGAATGAAATTGGCTCACTCTACTTTATTACGTCTGGCACAGACTGCTTGGATGAACAAAGCTATATTGTTTGCATTCTCTCTAAATTACACCGGGTAGGAGCATTAATTACTTTATAAACCGGTATTTGCGTCTGTTGAACTTACCTTGCCACTGTCCGCTATAACAAGGTTGGTGATAAAAAGTGTACAATGTAAGTCACTCTAACTGAACATGCGCCGTGGATGAGGACTGTCTTCCATATAACTATATCGATACAGTGTGTAAATGCTCCAATAAATTGTTCTATTAAATTAGGTCTTATAAAGCATTAAAAACCTGCACCAAAACATGTCAAAGGCTATAATGCTGTCATTGTTTTTAATGATAATGCCAGGGGAGCGTCAACCATTGGACCGCACTCCAGTTGATATTGTGGAGATTGTACGACTATATCAAGGCGTAACACCCGTCCTGTATTTCTGCATCTGCGGAGTGACTGCTTTCTTTATCGTTGTTTCGCTCTGTTTCTTGGCATTTAACGTCAAGTTCCGTCAACAGAGGTACCCGAGAATCTTGCTTATAAACTTATGTCCCAGTTCGAAAAACCACAACTGCAATGAAAATATTACGGACGCTCTAGCCATGAGGTAATTTTCCCTCAGGAAAAAAATAAAAGAAACTCAGCAATCACAATCTCTAAAACAACGCCCCCAAGAAAAAACCTCTCTCGAAGCACCTGTAACGAATTATGTTAGATTTGGCGAAGGGATACACACAACCGCCTTGAAAAATAAGTAACACTTTTTCGTGGTTGTTTTAACGCCACTATAACAAAGCAATGTATATTTCTCATCAATATGCTCATGTTCACGCATGTAAGGTTTGAAATAAATGACGATATTTATAATTACAGAGTTTTTCCCGTGTCGCATATGAATTCCGTGTCCCCGTCATTTCTAGTGGTCCCAGATTCAGGGAAAAAAGTGCTCATATGGTTCATTTCAGTAATTTTCCATTGTGCCACATCTAGTTGTCATCAAGGTGTAATAATTGGCCGATTCCATTGCAGATCCTGTGGCTGTACCGTTACGTTTACTATAATGGATTTTTTTATCATCTCAGGCACGTGAAGATGTCGAGTCCCAGTCTGAACAATTTGATTATCGTTGGTGCTCTGCTAGTCTACATGTTTGTAACAATCGCGGGACTGGATACCAACCTTGTTTCTGAGGAAATTTTTGGGATTCTCTGCAATGTAAGATTTCACATCTCAAAATATCAGAAAAAAATTTTAATCCACATTTTACCATTTCAAAGGTATACAGTATCAAGTAAAGTGACATTTAATTATCAAGAAAAGTGTATAAAAACATTTTTAATTATCAGCAGAGAGAACCATACAAAAATCATATCAAGGCTGCGTTTACTGCAGGTAAAGACATGGATACTGTCGGTGGGTTTTGTGCTAGCATTCGGGGCAATGTTCAGCAAGACATGGAGGGTACATCGTGTGGCCGCCTTCAAAACTCCAAAACGAAGGGTAAACTGAAAAGTAAAAATATTAGTATTAAATAAGTGGTAATGAATCCTCTAAATCACCGAGGAAGAGAGGGGGGTAAGAAACCATTACAACCATTACATTATGCCTAAAAACATAAGGAACATACATGCATGGCAAATAAATGGACGAAATGATACAAGCGGTGTAAAACCTGCGGGGGGGGCTTTTTTAGGAATTGAAACAGTTAACCATCATTTTAAAAACGGTCCTGCCAATTTTCACGTGGAGGGGTAACGTTTCTATTACGGATAAATAAAAATCAATTTAAGTGTCCAATTGGATTCACAGATTGTGACAGACGGACAACTTTTTCTCATGGTCTTGATTCTGTTATTCATCGACGTCATCATTCTTACATTATGGCAAGTGCTTGATCCAGCCACCATGCGAACTCTGGATCTTTATCCACAGGTAAGAAACGTATTGTAGCCAATATCGACCAGTAGGTAAATGGCTGATGGTCTTATATATTTTCAAATCATGCAACAATATGAAACTCTCCCTAAATTTGATTAACCAAGTCACACTGATAATGACTGCATTTTATTTGTTCATAGGAGGACCCTGAAATTGCCAATAGGATCATACAGCCATACATACAATTCTGTACTTGTGATACGCTGACGTACTGGCTTGGCGCGTTGTATGGGTACAAGGGATTGTTGCTGATATTTGGAACATTTTTGGCTTGGGAAACTCGTAAGGTATGTAGTGCTTTCCAACTTCAAACCTTTCTCAATACTAGGGATGAGTTTTCAGCTAGAAATACCAAATTTGGCAAACGAAAAACTGTTCACTTCGGTATAACCGCTATAACTACAATCTGATGGTGTTTGCTTAGTATCCAACTGAAGCAGAAAAACTGGCATTCTATAGACTTGGCTCAAAGTTGGTACACATAATTGGTTGGTTGTTCGTAACATCTTCGCTCTGTCACTTAATATTGCTTGGTCCTTGTAACGTTTATTGATACCCGAGTGAGGGATGTTAGTTCCCTCATCCCTTGTATGTTGATACAAAATCCATACCCGTTTGAGAAAAACGCTTTTCAGCCTTTGGAATTTGCTACCAGATGTGGACAGAGCGATTCAAAAGAACATGTTCCAATGCAACACAATCGAGCCACGAACGTTTTTATTCCTACAGGGGTACAGGGTACTGTGGTCAAATTACAATAAACCCCTTTCACTGACGTCTCCATCTGTTTTGTTATTTCTCTCATTGCAGGTCAGCATTCAGGGGTTGAATGACAGTAAATTGATCGGTATCAGTGTCTACAATGTCGTCATTCTTTGTGTCATCGGTGTGGCCGTCAGTGTCGTCATCAGTACCAATCCGGAAGCTCTCTTTGCCTTTGTGTCTTGTATCATACTCTTCTGTACCAGCATAACTCTGTTCATCGTCTTTGTTCCAAAGGTACCAAATCTTATCCAGAAATATGTTATCTGAAAAGAATTTTTTTCTGAGCATTTTCAATTTTTGATTTATTTCCATTGTTAGATATAACACGCATACCGGTGTATTTTGCATACTTGTAAGAGGGCGCTGTTTTAAAAGAGCGATCAGAACTCCGGCTCACGTTGAACTTTTGTGTTATTTCCTTGGCATTCCACGTCTGAAGGTAATGTTCAGTATGCAGGAAAAAAGACGCATCAAAGGTATGAGGTTCCTTGTTGATATATTATTGATGCTGCTATCGTTACAGATAATTGCAGTAGTGAAATATCCAGATGGAGATCCTGTCCAGTCTGGAATATCCACTAACAAGCATTTCGCCAAGGAGAGAAACAACGCCAGCGAGACCACTACCAGTTTGACAGCGGAAAATAACCAGTTGAAAAAGAAAATCCTAGAGGTATTAATTACTGACATTCCATTAACATCTTCCTGTTTCCTCTTCGAGTGCAATATTCACGCTATCCATTTTAAAAAATTTTCTAGTTGCAAATTAACTATTTATTTTCATGTCGACCGTAGCCCGTAGCAGACAGCAGAAAAATGAAATCGCAGTTCTATTTACCAAATTCTAGAATTTGGTATTTGTGCATGCTAAACGTTTAGAACAAAATGCCCTTTAAAGGAACCAGGAAATAGAAATATTTTTTATAAATATTACTAGAAACTCATGAAATTGCATCTTCTGGTTTCAATTAACCTAATTTTATTATTTTGATTTGCAATTTTAACCCATATTTGATGCTTTTTTGTTTTATGCTAATGCATATTTGCATATTCATGTATAGAACTATGATGTCATCCAAGGCACTGAATCTCAATGTTGCACTGATTTAAGCACAGGAAATTTCTAGATTTTTTCAACAACTGATATGGCGGATTTCCTTTTCTTTGGCAATTTATTGCTGTGTAAGTATGTGGCAATAATCCAGAAAAAAATACTTTTCAAAGAAGTGTTCCGAGATTTTGGGGCAAATTTGGGGTTCACAATTTAAACATGAAAACCTGCAACCTGAACCATGTCTTCCTGAATTTACATCAAAGCAAAAGCGCCGTCACTTGTCCAGAAATGCTTGGCCAATTTTTAATGTTTGAAAAAGTGCACCGTTCAGTTCACTTTACTCAAAACACATGTCAAAAAGTCTTCATACTTGGAAGAAGAGTACAGAGATACACAAAAAGTGATTCTAAGAAAAATTCATTTCCTGGATCCTTTAAATTTCAAAACAATAAACTGTTAATATATGTACACCGTACACGCGGGGGACCCAATTTCTGTCAGATTCCCCAACGTAGTCTATTCATTTGAAAATTTAAAAATTAAAGAAACAGACTCAATTCTACGATTTCATTCCGACCCCCGAAATCAGCTGTTACCATCCCAGTTAGGAATTCAAATGTATACAATACATTCAGCAATACGACTGAAATTGAAAACCCCGCGAATACAGTCTATTGTTATCTTTATAGCCCTGCTGTTGTAATAAACAGGCGCAATAAAACACATAAAGGAAGAGTAATCTATAATGTTTCAATTTGTGAATGAAAGTCAAGTCATCTCCCTTTGAACACCTCTAATAAACATGAAATAGATATCCCATAGCAGGCAGAGTATGTGCAGTGCTTTAACTAGATTCAGCTTTACTTTTCCTCCCCAGCTTAAGAACGAGGTAGACGATCTCAAGGGACAAGGCAAGTCTCGTATCCTACCTGGAAATGGGAGAGGATTTGGGTGTTGGGTATGTGGACTGGTTTGTGGCTTTTCTCCTTCAAGAGCGAAAGATTATTATTCTGAATCAGGAATCGAGGAGTCCCAGATACCAGATGATAATGCCATTGCTGGTACTAGCACGGCTACCGCAAAAATGTAGCCTTCATCTCGAGAAATCAAGTACTTACAAAAGAACACGAAAAGCCAAATAAGGTTATTGATTTATATAAAGGCTTATGACACATCAGAATAAACCACAAAACGCCATTATAATCACACAAGATGTAATTAAATTACGTAAACTGTCTACGGCAAAGACAAGTAAAACAATTTAAAACGCACGCATTTGATCTCACCATGTTATTTGCTCATTTATGAAGTATTTGTTGTGATGTTGTACATACTCGCATTTGTATGTGATTGCATAAGGAAGCATCTATATTTCTTTCTCGTGAAGATTTGTGATGTGGTAAACTTGTAAGTTCACTTTGTTGAATCTATTTGGTTGTAAATGTATTCCCACAAATGTGTCTTCAAACAATTCATTGCACCGTGCTGTATTGATATCAATTGATGATATTGATTGTTGCCTCTGATATTATAATGAACTTTATAATTCTTACCACGAAATATAGCATTTCTTGAAGAGTTTTTTGTTGTTAATCCCTATGGGAACAGCTACAATGATTGGGCTACCTTTACCTTACATCATCGATTTTAGTCATCATCAACAAGTAATCTGTATGAAGGGTTTGCACGGCTGCCATCTTGCAGGCCAGTGCTTTTGTTCCACAGGGTATGCAAGAGTAAGGTTTCCCAGTGGAACAAAAGGTTTGCCCCGGCAGGCAATATGGCTACCACGCAAAGCCTCCATACAAAAATATTCGTGCTTTAAAAGGCTGCACCCCTTTGAAAATCCAAAAGAAATCGTAAATAATCCATCCCCATGTAAAGCTTATTTTTTTCTGATATGTCAAAACATATAATAAATATATATAATCTGTGTATGATACCAGGAAATATATGAAACATTATTTACTGTCGATTTCCTTCCGTTTCCGTCTTTACTTTGTGAAATTTTTCTTGTCATTGATTGACAATAATAACTGATAACTACCGGTATATTTAGTGTCCAGAATTTCCCGTGAGCTTCATTGTAATTTACTGTTACCCACAATATCCACTTCACACATTGTGGTAATCATGTTAATGGCAAATTATATTACGACAAAATAATGGAACTCATAGCTACGTCCTGATATGAATTGAGATAAAAACACACAAAATGTGAGGATGGAACTAGTATAGTCTACTTAATATTTCACTATGACGCAAAAAGAGGTGGTCTTCGCACAGCGTCTCTCAGTTGCACATTCAAGTCTTTGAAGTGACCAAACAAACTTTCGACAGACTGTTCCCTGGCATATTCTGTGAATAGATGGATGAGTTGTTGCATGTCCCTTCCACCTCCATGAAAAAGTTTGCCAGTGAATCCTACTGGGTAAAATTCAAGGGTTACCCAATAAGCTCCGCCTTGTTGCTTGATGAAATCACGTATCGACTGCAGATAATTGGAAGGAGCTCTGACATTATCTGACAGTTGCAGGTAGAAGTCCGCACTGTCCATAGCGTAAGCAAGTAGGAATGCATTGTCAACGTTCTGCTTGACACGGTTGTAGAGATCACTGCCAGTAAGTGCTGACAGATTTGGATAGAAAGATCTAGGGGCTTCGATAAGTTGCAGCAGTCCACTCTGAACGTGTTCAGGAAAACCAGCGACGATATCACGGGTGGAGAGTCGAGTACTCTGGTCTAAGGCACTTGCAAAGACAACAATACTCACATGAGATTGCCCGAGATCATTGGGAGTGTTCTGAATCAGAGATTTGAGGGTTCTTTTGAGGTCACTCTTTCCAAATGAACGGGGTGTGTTCGGTATACCAATTGTTAGAAAACCTGCCACAGAAATGAAAGAAATGAAACCATTACACGTACTTCCGACATCCATTACAAAGTGAAGGTGTATAACGTTTTCAAAACGCCCATTGTAAACGCCAAATGTAAACAAGAAACCTTTTAAACCTAAACACCTTTTTTGAAATAACGAGTTTCGGTGTTCAGAAAGTGTTACCTCCTGATCAACGTATTTCTGTGTCTTGTTATTAACACCCAATAGTGTGATTGTGTCTCAATTTATAGACAAATCATCACGTATTGATTAAAAATGACACCAAAACGTGTTCAGCTTAGGATGTTAATATCACAACGCTTTCATAAAATGTTACCAGGAAGGCGTTTAAAAGGTGTTAAAACATTAACACGTGTTTTGCGGTGAATTAAAATTCTCTATTGGACACAATTTCAATTTTAAAAAGACACATCTGACCTATACCTTTGTTTTTTCTTCGACGACCAATAATCACAGCTTTATCTTTGTCAAGATTCATCAGATCCGTGCAACACACGGCAACTGCTGCTGAATTCGTCATCAATATCTGTAAAAATCCCAAGATCTGGATCAGATTGTATTCCAGTTGGGTTACACAAGTTTAGTGTTTATTATTTTTGTTGCAGCAGAGGCTGTAATAGATTGGAAGAAAGCTGCCCCTGTTTGTGAGCTTAAAGCCCTCTAAAACAGGGAATCACTAAACTATGGGGAAGTGATCTGCACTTCTTTTGCATTTTTATTATCCTCATTATCCATTCACGAACAACTATATTTCATTTAACAATAAACCGATTCTCATAAGATTTCTTACCTTGTTTTGTTCTCTGTCAACCACTTTTGTAATATTCTCTCTAGTTTTTTCTTCCCTGTTTCCAATTCTTGAGAAATTCCGTGTTGTTTCAACACCAGTCCTTCTTGTGTTCTGGTTTACACGAAGCCCACGGCCACTTCCTACAATATCAAAATTAACCCAACCATAATGTCGGTTATTAATGGCATTCAATGGGAGGAGAGTCACAGAGCTACGCTTTATGTCTGTTGGTTACTACTGACAAAAGCTTTCCGTGTATATGTTGTATATGTGTTGTCGATTTTCGCCCTCTCTCTTCTTTTCCAGACACTATCACTTCGCTTTTCAATCAAGTCTATTTATTTCAACAACACACAAAAGATTTTATGCGTTGGAGATATACAAGCAAACACCCGTTGTCCGAGCAAATCAAATTTTGAAGTAATCTCCGTAAATGATATCATAACTGATGCATAATTCAAAATTGTTCGATTGGCTTTCGTAAATTCCATGTGTTAAAATCCATCCTGGGAAAAGAAAGTGTTTATAAAACTCACCCCAACGGTTCGTACCCTTAACCAGTAACAGATATGTCGACGTGAAGCATATTATCACCGTTACAATAACTGTCGGAACACAAATCAACTTCCAGCGACGCGACATCTTGACAGCAGCTTTATCCACACTAGACCTTGTAGAAAAGATAATAGGGAAATAGAAGTTCAGTACCAGGAGAAAATGGCCGCAGCACACAGTCATACTCCAGCTGTTGTGTGTATACATGTAGCTAAATGGCTCACGCATGAGCTGCGTGATATGAAAACCGTGCTGTTGGTTTTTGTCCCTACGTGTGATCACTATATTATGGCACACTGCACAGGACCCAATTGCATTATCATTTGACGGGTGCCTGTTTGAAAAGAATGCTTGAAATTGTGCCAGAAAACTAGGTCTTCAGTACATACCAACTCAATTGACGCTGTAAATAAAGAGAACTATACTGAACTCGTAAGCCATCTAATAAGCCACATCAGTGGATACGCAATAGAAATAAATGATTAAACCTAAAACAACCTCGGAAAATAAACAGTGTAATATTCTCGCCAGAAGTGCACAGGTTCATTGTACCGCGTTCAACACAATATTGTGATGTTAATTTGAGGGTCAGACATTTTGTGTATGAACAAATAATGCTTGCCGTTGGTATTAATACGCTTATTTCATCTGGGTCCACTCAACCGTAAAAGGTTGTACGTGTTTATATTATACACGTCAGATTTGTCCTGTCTGATATAGCTATATGTCTGAATAATGCACCTGTACATAAAGGCCGATTGGGAAAGAGCAACTCTGCAAAGTAAGTTCCAAAACTAACGGACGGTTGCAGCTTGTCGCTTGTTGAAATCTTCGTAAATTCTACTTCCGTAAGTATGATGGATGTTGTTTTTAAGTGCATAAAACTTCAGTTTTCAGTAATTTGTGAAATAACGGGTTTTGCTTTCAATTAATCAACTAAAAAAAATGACTATAGTTACTCTATGATCCGATGAAGGTAAACAATTGTTCCGACATGTCGACAACAATGCAGTTTTCAAAGCTAGTAACTTAGGTTATTTTGCGTGCATTAATCCTGAGAACGTTCCATAATCTGTTCGATTTTTGAGGGCTTTGAATGATTCTCACTATATGACCAAGAATGATCTCAATGTTTCCATATCTAATTCCATTCTCGTAGATTCAAGATGAGATTCTGGCACAGAAATACAGCTGCCTACATGATTACCCTGGCGATTATTCTGACGACGATGTATTACTTATTCACGATCAGAGACAACACAAAGGGTGAGTCAGACGATTGTACATCGCTGACAACAAATTCATAGAAGACAAATGTCTGATGTCAGAATGCTTGGCAGGTGGATACAAACATAGCTTCTATATGGTTACAGCACAGATGAGTAAAAGCTGCCAATTATTCTGGCAGATACCTCGCAAATTTCTAGTATTGATTACGTGGTAAAAAAATGTAATGAACTGACCCCTGCATTCTGTTTACTAAAGTCCTATTTAAATCACAAAGAAATAACACTTATGAAGGCCACTAATATCACAGATGTAGTAATCTGCCCAAACATAAAACAGTTATCCGAAACCAGGCATAGCTGAAAGAAACAGCCGTCGACAATATCATTTAAGTGTCTTAGTATATCCACATGCCTTTAATAGGTATTGATTTCCTACCCGTACGTTGTAGTGGCTTCAGTAACGCTTGGGTGCATTATAAAATGATGCATGATTAAATTACAAGAAAATAAGCACTTTAATATGATGGGTCACAAACTATTGCATTCAAAGGTTGGGGAACTGAAATGCCTCTTGACTAGACCTCGCAGATCGAGCAAATCCGTTAAAATAATAACAACCAGAAACTCAACTGCAGGAGATTTACTGACTGAAATAGATATGTATTATGTTTGCAAAGCGTGGCGCACTTCTGTACCCAATATAACTGCACAAGGAGAGTGCTAGTACGATTGCCAATTCAACACAAGTAGAATATTCGAAGCATGTGCATGAATCTATAACTGATCACTCAACCATGACACATGATAATGGAAACCTGGCAGTGGAAACCCATTCTGACTTCATACCAATTCATAATTGCTTTTGCAGGACGTGTACCTGACGGACCATCTCGACCGAAGCCATTATTGACGATGGAATACAAATCCAATAAAAAAATACGAACCAAGAATCAACATGAAGAAGTATTGTTGAATCAGAGACCGGGTAAACCTGCAAACAAGGTAAGTACGAAAGGTATAGGACTGTTTTCATCTAAAATTTGGTCCGCGTAAAGACTAACCAGGCAACCAGAATTATAGAAGCCATTACTGCGGGACCATCCCGTTCACACAAGGGTTTTAAGCGTGTAAGTGCTTGGATACGACAATTGCAACTGAAAACTTGGAGTTTTCAAATACGTTCAGTTAAATGGAACAGACACGGTTCAGTGTGGGTAATACTTCAAGTATTAGTCATCTATGGTGGCCCTGGAGGGACATCGCCAATCGTCAACGAGTGGGTCGTAAATTTGGTCGCAAATATTGACGTAAATATTGACGATTGGCGGCGCCACTCCAGAGTCGCCTAAGTCATCCCTCATGTTGCTATAAGTTATGCATACTTGTTTCTTTTTTGGAAGTTGGATTGCATGAGGTTATAAATATAAACGATCGCTACTCAGCACAATTATTATCTGTGTGCCATTTGTCGTTTGATTTGACAGACTCTGGAACGGCTTGATGTATCCCGAGTGATGAGCTGTATGGACCTGGAGCACTTTGACAGAGAAAAGGCCTTAGTGATTGGACATCGCAAAAAACAGAGAGGTAAAAATGAACAAGATGTAAAGTGACTCACAGAAGTTGTGCAGCGTATCTTTAGAACAGAGAGGATGTAAATTATCTGCTGCCACTTATGGGCTTCAATTATTGGCTTCAAAATCGAGAAATGCAGTAAGACGTATCCTGTGGCAAACATTTGCTCATCATTTCAGTCTTCGAAATTCTGTCGAGTATCTCTCTAGGAGTTTCAAGATAAAAATAATTAACTAAACTCACAACATAGTTCGCGAAATGAGACGAGGCACAAGTACAGCACAAATCCAGCTGATAATTTTCTTCTTGTACTTGTCTCCCTCAGGCTTCCTTACAATTGGTATAACGAATGTCAAGCGGAAGAACACAAGCTATCTGAAACGAACACTTGAATCCCTAATTAGCAATGCCAATGAAGCTGAGAGATCCAAACTCCGCATCGTCGTCTTTGCGTGTGATTTGGAAGAAAAAGCTCGCCAGGAAGCTCGGGATATTGTATCCAAAAGCTTCCCTGAGCACGTTCAGAGTGGCTTGCTTCAGTTGATAGAGGCCCCAAAGTCTTTCTATCCGCCACTGGAAAATCTGAAGCAAACATTTAATGACCCAAATGTACGAGTGAAATGGCGATCCAAGGAGAACATTGACAATGTGTTTCTTTTTGCTTACTCCGTCAACATGTCTGATTATTACATGCTACTTGACGATGATCTTATCACCTTCTCCGGGTACTTCCAGAGGATCTACAACTTCGTTGCTAAGCACCAGAAAAATCATTGGATACTGTTGGATATCTCAGAGAGAGGCACGGGAAAACTATTCCGCAATAACGACTTACTCCCTCTCGCACGGTTCCTGGTACAGTTTTACCAGGAACAGCCGGTAGATCTCCTGCTGCACTCCATGATGAGACTTACAAATCAGAACAATCATTTTGTGGTCGAGCCTCCTTTATTTAAGCATATCGGAGTTGTATCCTCTCTCGAGCTGAAAAACAAAAATGGCGCATAGGACCGAAGAAGATCCCCAATGGGGACAGAGAAGATAATGTGAAAGAGCAGAAGCTGACCCAGAACTGTGTCCGTTCTCGACAGCCTTTCCATGTCGAATGTTCCTTGGCCTTAAAGCATTGCTTTTTTCACCGGTGATGTCTTTTTATATGGTTTTTAATTTTCGATTTAACGCTGAAGATATGATTTTAATGACCCATCTAATTTAACACACGAAATGCCTTGCGTTCATTTTCCATGCGGAGTGGCATGAATAAAATATAGTTCAAATTTACACTTTTCAAAGCATAACGAGTTCAACTCGGATATTTGCCATTCAAAGAAAATAAATAAAAATCATTCGGGGTAGTTTCATTCTCGCAATCGACGAGTTATGACTGACTCAGGGCATATTTTCATATGCACACATCGTCAGAACGACAAGATGAAATGAAACATGGGATGTACTTTTTACTTCATCCGTTCTGAATGTCAAGTTTATCTCTCATTTGCCACTTCTTTTACTTTGTCACCTCTGTTCATTTTTGTGATTTCCACATCTTTTCAAATAGCATGGAGGTTTTTTCACCTGAACCCTGTGCGAAAGTTCCTTATTATAGACAGGCCCGTATATACACGCATTAAAACTTTAAACCACGGCAAGCTATTTTCTATAATGCACTATAATGTTGCACCGAAGGTTTTTTTATTTTAAATCCTTTGTCATTTTAAATGAAACATCACAAAAGGTTCAAGAAGGATTGTCTGGGATACTACAAAGTTTAACAGCTGTCATCAAAGTGATATGTACATTCAGAACCTTACTAATAATAAAATCATTCATACATAAAATAAATAAAACACTTGTTTCAGTACACATAAGACGAAAAAATTGAAATCGCTGATAACAATAATATATATATGAAAAAATCTCTTCATGAATAACACTTAAATTCAGAATACTTTGCTTGACTTCCCTGTCTTCTTAGAACACCTTGTTTACAGGGATCTCAATTTCTGGTAAATTATATTTGTGACCGATTTTATGGAGCCAAAAGTTAAAAAAATTGGAGAGATGATAATTCAAACTTGATTGTGACAAATGTTTAATACTAGTTGTGGTTGGGAGCTCCATGCCGGTATTTTGAAGTTGGACTCAGACACTACGAAAGAAAGGACAGTTTAACTACCTCATTTTACAGCTGAAGGGTTACATCCAGAAACCACGAACTGCCTCCAAGTAACGTCGAAATCACCGTATCCTAGGCAACCTCGTTCTCTATGCATGGTAAAACAGGTAGTGGTAAAGAAAAAGCAGTTTGGAGATTTTCAAATTATTACCCAGGATGTATACCCAGGGTGTATACCATCACACAAATTCCTCCAAACTCTAAATAATGAGTTTGGACGTAAATTAGGCTAAATCAAGCAATTAGGCTGAACTGCCTTTTTTGGACGAGGTCTCCATAATGCGAGCCAGTATTGAGGCACTGTAGACTTGTAAAGGCGATCGGACGTATTATTGGAATGAAGATATGGCGAAAAATGAAAAGCCTTTCACTCAACAAACACAGTATGGTGGTCAATTTTAAGAATACTCCAAATTATAATTGAAATTCTTGATTAAATGGGTTGCACAAATTTACGTGTTAATTGCATGGGGTAATCTTACCACAAGAGGTGCCTCTTTGAGTTGTATGTCGTGTCGGTAACGAAGCTCTCCTCGTCCAGATTACCGCCTGGCCCCATTCGGCCATGCTAAACAGACATGTACTGCAAATGTACATGTACATGCACTTAGACCGTATTATGGACTAAGTAAAACAGTCTCGTGCAAGACTTGCTCTGTACGGGACGGTGTGCGTGTACGTGCATAAAAATGGTTCCTGTCAAGTGACTAAAGGGAAGCTGGTCTACTCATGTAATTATACAGCACTCAGTATAGTCTTGCATGCTGACAACTGTGTCGTTACGTGGTAGCATTGAAACACATTCAATGTAGAAAATGATGATCGAAATATTAATTGGACTGCTTAGTGAAACCGATAAATTACACTGATGCTAATATCGTTAATAATACATGTTCCTCGTATTTTGCATGTGTGTATGGGGAGTTTTCACACAGTCACTGTCAATTCTGAAACATGTCTACTTTGAATATATGAATTTTACGAAGACAGTATACAATTTGGCTGTCGGTGCATGTCTAGGCACAAGGAATTTCAATGCCATGTGCAACCATGGAGGAAGCAACACTTAGGTCTGAAAAGCAATAGGCGACTAATATTGAGAAGTAGCTCTTGAAGGTTTGCATGGTAGAATACGATAAGGTAGCGGGTTTGCGGATACACAATGTGGAAAATATCTTTTTTGAGTTCTGAAAAGAACTACTACAAGATTCTCGATATTGAGAACATCAAACATCTTGTTAACGTGGGAGTGTAATATGTGGATTAAAAAAAAAATCGAAAAGCGATCAATCTTTGACCTTCCACCGAAAGATCCGGTTTCTGTGTAAAACTACATGTACTTGATTTGTGATTAGTGTCTGCTCAGCTGGCTAAACGTCTATGGCTATATGTTCATTGCTGCATTAGTCATCTTGATCCTGAACTTGGTGACTACTTACTGTTGACCTTGGCTAGACAGACAAAAATATTTTGACAGAAACCCATCATGTGATATTATTCAGATCTGTGCGTAGGATTTAGCAGACATCTTCTTTACATTGAACTCAGTGTCGAATGACTGAGGAGTCTTTGAGGTCTCCGCTGAGAACACAGGTCGGTACGCGGGCCAACAATTTATGCCGCATGCTGTACAGAAACTGTCTGGCCGGTGACGTTAGCGATCGAAATCTTCTCAGGCTCGAACTAGTATTCCTGAACTAAAAGTATGGTGGGGGGGGGGAGGAATCAACTCCCGGACATGTTGCCAATTTTAAGACATAGCAGAAACCGTCACGGTTGGTGCATGAAACACCCTTGGAAGAAATAAATTGGAAAACATTGTAAAACATTGACTTCACAGCCAGTGACAAACTGATACTTGACAGCTTCTAGTGTTGTGAGGGTAGGAAAAACTGTACACCCCCGGACAACCTTTTGAACTTAAAGGGTCGTACCTTGATCGCCTTACCACTTTCTGATGTTGAAAGAATTGTGCAGTGTTCGTGGTGTCGTATTTACCTAACAAGGAATGTTACCATGGGGAAATAACAACTGAAAAATAATAGGCCTTCTTGTATTTTTGTTCCGATCGACAGTTACATAAAACGGCTGTAACGTTGTAAATATTTGTTAAAAGAAGCAGGAACACTAAAAAAACATGAGATTTACTGTAGAACCTGGATTTTGAAAATTAAAAACAAAAAGGCTTTTGATCGCTGTCAACGGAAAGCTATTGGATTTGTAATACTGATGCGTTATGCCGTAAAGTGACCGGGGAAACGATCACTGTGACATGTGTGCATGTTCTATCTGAACACTAATCAGTGCATGAATAACACAACCTCACGTCGGCACTCCGTTGTTTGAGACATTACAAATGAAAACAACTTCCCTGTGACCCAGGCAGGAAATGAAATATCCTGTGTATCATCACATGGCCATACTGAAATTGTGTCTGTTCAACTGGTTAATTTGGGGGTAATTTTAGATTGAAACTCTCTTGCCACCTGAGGTTTTCCCAATTCATTAATTAAAGAACGTCATGATATACTTCTACTGAGAAGCAAGTTGGTTCCGGCATATCCTCCAATAGGCCTTTTCATAAAAAATATTTCCCTGATACATAAAGGCCTTTTAGTTGCTTTCCAAATCATTAGTGGTCGTGCATTTGTGGGGCGGAAACGAAAGCACAGAACGGATTCGCACTGAAGCCGAAAGTGTGGCTTGTTTTCTGAGCACTTTTCAGTTTATTTATAGGTTAAAAAGGTCGGAACCCATCAGTTGGTTACCCTCGAAACCTTTAAACGCCTACCCCTCTTCCAGCAAATGGAATGGCTCAAGAAGAACTCGCATAATTAAGGTCATGCAAAGGGTGTTAACAGTCAGCTATCCCTAGAAAATGGCGAATGATTGCTATCCAGACAAGATCTACTTGAAATATTCAGAAACAGCATTTTCATTGCAACAAATGTGAGTGAGTTTTTAAAGCTTGGACAAGGGAATAACCAAAGGGATAGAAGGTAAGCCAATTACATCTGCGTTGCGTTTTATTTCATGAGTTAAATTAAAATGTAAAATAACAAGGTGTACCAATGCATGCGACCGGCTTCTTGCAAATGTAATTTGGAAAACATTAGTTCACCTTTGGGATTTTCAATTTTAACACTCGGTAGGGTGTCCAACGTCGTTTCCGATATTTAAGAATGAACTTAGGCTATGTCAATTTTATGTGTCAGCAAGTGTACATGTACATGTCTTCCAGCCATTATAATGCAAGAGACCATTCAGCGTCTGGCGGTTTCGTGTCAAAATAAAGCCTACAAACCTACTTGTTCTTTGCTTTGATTATGAGAATATAACAGAATTTTGTTTTGACTTCACCTTAAAGTGTTGAGCCTATGTATTTGAAAAATTATTTTCCATGTGATAAAAAAATGATACACAGTTACGATTTATTTCTGTAATTTCTGTGTTTTGAATGAGTATCCAGTTTAAGGATCTCATGGTCTGCATGGAGAGTTCGCTGACGTATATGTATATTCATCAGCTACTGTACAACATGAACTCATAACATTATAATATATTTATTTCCAGGGTTGTGTACCTGCAGCTACGTCAAACGTTTCACATGTACTGCGCCACAGTGTGAATGTTTATGTGAACATTTATAGGACATAACGCACTTACGTCGTGCAAGGTTGAAAGGCATGGGCATTAAAGCTTGGCTGTGCCTTCAGAGACGATTTCTGTGGTTAATAGTAGTCGGAGTTGTTGTCGTGGTGATTGTGGCTCGAAATGGCTTCGACTTAGGAAGAGACAGCAAGGACACCACAGCACAAGGTGAGTTTAATTTAAATTGATGAGGTGAGTTTGGACAAGGTCTAGATACTGATGTCCTCAGTGCTGTCGGTTGTTAGCATGGGGCCTAAATCCCGAGGAAGGGGGGGGGTAATTCGCCCACTATTTGAGGAGGAACGGGCTATTGAATCACTCCCCCACACCTTTTGTGGTGAGCAAAAACTTAGAGCAGAATGTGAAGAATTTTGCAGACTTCCAACGACTAAAATGCATTCAGTATCACTCAATATGATGTATGCCAGTATCATGAACATCGACCAATAGAGTCATATGGTGTCACTACCCCAGCTTTTTAAATTTTCATAGCCGGGCAATTCATCACCCCTTACCTTCCCTTATCCCCAACCCCACCCTCAATTTCCGGCATAGTTTTACGCCACTGGGTATTAGCAATGTCAAGTCTACTAACATGAACTTCAGTCTTACCGTCCACTTTTTATAACAAGCGTAGAAGGTCGTCAGGGGATCGTCCCCAGATTAATTATATTAACAAAGATTACAGTAATCTTTCAAAAGACCAGTTTTATGTAACTTTATTTCATTGATAGTTATTGGGAGAGTTCAGAATCTGCGCCGTTTCTTATTCAAAAGTGGGTCATCAATAAAAGCTAGTTTAAATAATAAATTTTACAAAATGACAAACTTGAATGTTTGGACGTCATCTAAAGGGAATAACATAACCAAGTGGGTGGGTATCCATGCTCTCCTTTGCAGGCTACCATAACCTGCCATGGATGCCTGAGATTTTTGCCAAATACAGTGCAGAGCGGAATCAAATTACACAGGAAGGTTGGAGTGGCGATACTGATAACCCGTCCAAGGTATATTTCATTTTGCACACAGGATTCTTCCAATGGTGGCACAAAATGCTGGATTTTAATGTAATAATTTAACTATAAAGCAAGTCTGGTCCGAGCCAATTTGGCTCATCAGGCTGGTGTTTATCTGCGGTTTCCTTGACATGAAACGACTTGGAATGTTTCTATTCCCCCGCCGGATGGGATGCCAGTCCATCGCAGGTTGCTTCCCCAATTTAATTAACTTAAACTCAATAAGAATCATTTGTTTTGGATTGAAAATCGATTGTTGTTTTTAGCAACTATCTAAACTCTTGTATATTTTCTTCCAAGAATGGTACACAACATCTTAGCTTAATTGACGCTGCGATGATTTCTAAAAGGTACTTTCACAAAGATGCATATTTGCAGGCTTCTGTATTGACATCTGACGCTGGTTGCATGAACTTAGAAAAAATCAGTCGAGACAATGCCTTGGTTCTTGGTCATCGCAGAAAAGACAGAGGTAAGTTTTGCATAAACTTTGTAGTAATTAATTAGAATACACCCCTAAATTCGTCATTTTATGTTAAATGGAACGATACCTGTTAGCAAGCTGGAGTCTGATTTCTAGAGTGGAAAATGAAGTCCACTTGAAAAATCAAGTTGAAGAGCGACTGAGTAGATTTGAAGAAGAAAGTGAAGAGAAACAGAACTTTTGGACTGGAACTGATCGGGAACGGAATAGTCTTTCTTGTTGGAGGTATTGCCTATGACGTATGTCACAGTTTCGATGGGAAAACACAAACTCCAGAAGTACTTATTCCTGTCAGCAGTATATCACATTGTGATGATGTTTCGTGACGGTCGAACAAATTTATAATACGGCCTAAAGGCTAAAAAGCATTTTTTAAAATTCTGATTGAAGTAACGGATGTAATTACCTTAATGAGAAATTGTACTCTCTGATTTTAATCTTTCTGTTACAGGCTTCCTTACGATCGGAATCACAACAGTAGAGCGAGTAAATGCCAGCTACCTTTACCAGACCCTAGAATCTCTGATAGCTCATGCAAATGCCACTGAACGGTCACAGATCAGTATCGTCGTCTTTGCTTGTGACTTTAAAGAGAAGGCTCGTCAAGAAGCTCGTAATATTGTGTCCAGATTTCCAGAACATCTAGAAAGTGGGTTACTGCATCTGATCGAAGCACCAAGGCTATTCTATCCGCCACTCATCAACTTGAAAAGAACGTTCGACAATCCAGTTGAACGCGTTTATTGGCGATCGAAAGAAAACATTGACGGCGTCTTTCTCTTTGCCTACTCTGCAAACATGTCTGACTACTATCTGCAATTGGACGATGATTTTACGACGGTACCTGGGTACATCAGGACAATCAGGAAGTTCATAGCTCAGCATCAAGCTGATCACTGGATTCTCTTGGACATCTCGGAAAAAGGGACAGGGAAGCTATTCCGGGACAGAGACGTGTTGCATGTGGCTCGGTATTTAGTTCAGTTTTACCAAGAACAACCTATAGATTTTCTCTTTAGTAGTCTGATGCGGCTTCATCTACAGAAACGCCATTTTGTTGTAAACCCTCACATTTTCAAGCACATAGGAAATGTTTCGTCGTTAGAGTTGAAAAATAAAGCACGCCAAATTCACTAAAACTTATTACAAAAAAACTGTTATCGTTTTGCAGTGCAATTGCCTAATCTTCAAAAGGGACATTAATATGATAAAAATATGAATATTTCCACGTTATTTACACCTGAGCAGAATAGAAGAGCCGAACATGTTTAACTATGCGATGCTGATTTTTTTTTTACTACAAGTACAACGTTTAGAGAGACATCTAAGTGCTCCAAATGTAACTTGTTTTCGCTTGTAGGTGTACTGTTCTAACAGGCATTTGGGAGCCATTTTGTTTTTTTATGCTGCCAATTTCCATATTCATGAAGAAAACTGTGAAGTCATCAGAGGGAAAATCTCAATGTTCCATTGATTAGTAAACAAATTTTGCTATTCTAAATTTCCTGTACTTTTGTGATTTGTTGTGTAAGTACATGCCTGGCAACAAGCAAACAAACACTGCTCCCAGAAATTTTTCAAAGAGTAGATTATTGCAACCACAATTTAACAGAAAAGCATATAAACTGAACAGGGTTTTTCCTCCCAAAATTGACACTACAGCATTCGCACCCTCAGTTATTCAGAAAGCATGAGGAACATTCATCAAAGACAACCCCACAACCGTGACTTCTTTCATGCATTCCGCTTAAGTATATAAACACATGAAAATAGAGAAATGAAATAAACGCAATAAAAATGGAGACTGTGCATATACTCTGGAAATGGCTGTACATTTTTCGTCGCAGTTTTTGGTTCTTTGTCGTTTCATTAGGCTTTTACATTTCACGCTGTACCATATTTGGTTCTCCTTGATCTACGGGTGGGCAAAATTCCGACAGCTAAAAATAGCACACTACCGCAGTGACTAATGCAAAATATCACGAACGCAGCCTATTCACAAGATAGTGAATGACCTTCAAGTTCACTGCAGCAGGACAGGAATATCCGCGTGCAGTGCTACTTACATGGACTAGCGCCCTCAAGTTTAGAAAGTCTGGCAGTTAGCCAAGTTTGCTTGTCGGAAGGGCTTATGGCTTTGCGAATTGCACAGATTTTAGTGAAGGAAATATATCACGCAGGGTCACACCTAACGACGCCCAGAGCTTTATGGGTGATTTTTACCAGGTGTGCGAGCTCACTCAATGTGGCGGTTATTATTTCGATTTTGTTCTTGCTCTTCCTCACTGCTGAAAATATTCCCACTACACTTTATTAGTTATCTTTTATCCAAAATTGATCAAGATTACCAATGATTTGAAATATATCATCAAAAGACACGTGATCTGTGATACTTAGTAAGAAGATTAATTATTGTTCCAGACAGCTTATGACCTGACTGTGAATAACTGTAAGGAGCTGGAGACCGTTTTCTTGTGAACCGGATGATGCTACATTTCTCTGGTTTGAAGTTCATTTGCCAGGGTCCTTTCCCATTTCTCTAGCTTATGGGGGTCTTTCTGGAGGGCAAGGCAGTTGTTTCTATCTTCAATAGGAACGATTTTTTAAGGAGCGATAGCTAGCTGCGGTTTAACGTGTGCGATTAGTCCTGTCAATTTGGATGCTGAATATTTAAAGTTTTGTCGACCAATAGCAATGCTTTAACATGCAATACATTTCAGTGGAGAGGCGAATAAAACACAGCTATCCTTGCTAAGCCTCTGTTGGTCACAGTGTGGTAATTTATTTTTCAATGATTATAATCAATAAATCATTTTACGGCAATTTATTTCAAATTAGTGGTCTTTGTGTTAAATTTTAGAATAATGAACAATTCATGGTGAAGTTATTTTTCGTAATGAAGAAGAAAAAGCAAAATATGCTATCAATTCCTGCTTGATTTGTGCACTGAGCGGGCATCGTTTCCTCATTTACATACAACCGGCAGGATTCTACCGGATTCATTACCCACTACTGGTCCCTACGTTTGCCAGGAGGACGCCTGTAAGACGTCTGGAGACTACGCACGGGACGGGAACCAGTCTACATGTCACTTTGCTGGATATGACGCGTGTTGCTTGCTTTCGAGCAAAATAACAGGACCAGGCATTAACGTGAAAGGCAAGAAAATAACAATGGAGGTTTACAAGGGAGAATTAGCTGAAAGGTAAACACTTCCTTGGAACAGGATCCTGCATTACCACACCTTGATTGATTGCTTTAACTCGCTTGACCTACCAACATCACCCCTTGTCCCTTGGAGTGTTTTATTTTGGGTTAAAATCGCACAATTGAAAGTTGAGTAACTGTAATCTCCTAACTCTGAATAATTTTGTTCTGACTCAACAGTTATTTCCGTTTTGCAGTGTATTTATCAAGTCATACACAAGGTCAATAAATGAAAATTTATGACTACAAGAGTGAAAGTTAAATAAGACCATAAGACACTGAAATCAAAGGGGGCAAATACGGATGCCTTTTCAGAAGCCAAAGTCTTATACAGAAATGCCTTATTAAAACAACAAAAAGAACCAGACAAGGAAGAAAGACAATAAATTATACATAAAAAAGACAATTGCAGTACAATACAGTCAAAACAAAACAAGGACAAAACAAAACCAAACCAAACCAAACAAAACAAAGGCGAACCAATAGATTAAGATCTAACAAAAATTGGAATTACCAAACACTAGAAACGAAGAACTAAAGAAGATTAGAATGATAAAAGAGAAGGAGCTACCTCAGATAATCAGAAACTAGGTGGTTTTGTAGCTGTCCTTAGAAAATCCCACAGATGACTGGGACTTAATAATACCATCAACACTATTCCGAAGACAGGGTACAGAGAATCTCAGTGTATTCAGGGAATAGGATGTGCGTGCAAAAGGCAAAAACAGATTGAGACGTGATCTAATGATTGATTCTCCGATCTTTCATTATGTTCCCATTTCCTGTCCTTATGCAGTCGATAGGGGGCGACATCAGGTCACTCTTGTAAAATCTGAGTAATTGTGTATTGATTCTACGACCTTTCATGTTCCCATTTCTTGTCCTCATGCAGTCGATAGAGGGCGCCATCTGGTCACTTGTACAATTTTGCACCCCCACTGAAGGGTGCAGTCCACTAATTCACGCGAGAATTTCTGGCCAGCTCATTAGCATTAAAAGTGCCCCACAGTATCTTTTGAAAAAGGAGATTGTATGGCCCTCAAAATGGTGAGATTGTGTAAATCTTTGCCAGAATCAACCCCCTGGGTCTTTGGGCTTTCATCTGAGAGCAGAATGGCTTAAAAAATACTGTTCAGTGAAAAATGGTCCTAAGTGCCCGAGAAAGTTGAGGGTTGTCACAAGAAAAATGGCTGCAAGCAGACTTTGGAAAAATCACTTTTTGGGGGGTAATTCTGTTTTGAGGGAATTGCTCAAAATGTAATCGGTTAACCCACATAAAATTGAAAAGAAAGTGAAAGATTATGGACCATACAGTAATTTACCGTGTGTTTCAGATGCCTCAGGGATGTTGGTACGCATATTATCTGGCCCCGAACAATGCTGATTTTACACTGTTTTCAATGGGGCCTGAATAGTGGACTACACCCGTAAAGCGGCCAGAAATATGTCCGCCAAACTCATTAATAAAGTTTTACACTCAAAATAGTCTATATTAGAGAGTCCTGAGAGCCATGGCATTGAGGAATTGAAGAAATATGGCACTGAACCACTGGCCCACACTCAGGCCTTCCAATTCTGAGCAATTTGGATGCAATCGGGTCCAAAAGTGGCGCTATTTGGCCACCCTAACCCTTCTGCAGCAGGTTGCATTCAAAATGGCTACTTTTCCGGGCAGTGTAATTTTCCGGGCAGTCTTCATTTTAGGGGTGGTCTGCTTTAGGCTAGAATTTCTTAAAACTTCATCAGTCAACCCACTAAAACTTTAAAGGAAACTGAAAGAGGAAATGTCAAACATCATTCTTCTGTTTAGCCTGGACACCTGTGAGAGTTGGTGAGTATATTTAAAATAATTTGAAATATAAAGATTTATCACTGGTATCTATGGGAATTTATTTCTAGGTGCACCCTAGCAAAATAATATTCTTCTCGATCATTGAAGGTGTATGTTCTGTTGCACATGCCACAAATCTATGGATAAAGGGCTTTCAGTGACAAGAAATATTTCAGATACTCACCCTCCCCCAATCCATTACTGCCAAGGAAATCTTATGATGTGAAACAATCTGTCATGATCTTGCCACTTACGGTTTAGGTCAAATTTGGTCACATCACACATATCGGAAATCATTGCTAAACCTCCTATGAGGTTAAAGATGCCAGAATTATTCGCAAGGAGATTCTGTCATATGGATGACTGTGAAACGAAGTCTGCTGTGATATGACTCTTATGGAATAAATGACTCACAGAACTCAATATATCTAAACCATATCAACCCTCAACCCATTGGGTTGCGTCACTCAAGTTTTATTGTACATGATTCCACATACTGCAATAAAACATTCGTGACATCACATCAGTGTCAATTTACGATAAATTTCAGCGAAGTATGCATTAGGAAGGGTGGCGAGATTTACTTAGTGAAATGGGGAGGCTTATTTTAACCTCAAGTCATATTTTTGGAATTAGGATGACCTTTGATAGCAGTCTTTCGGCGACGGTGTTTATTTGCTATAGCTTTCTTTGAGAAACCAGCTGTGGCGGCGCCCTATAAGATCCTTAGTTTCCCGTGCAGCTGCGGCTTGGCGCCAGGGAAGGGGGGCCCGAGGCCGGGGGCGCCGACTTTATCAACTTCCTTTGAATTGATGATAGAAACCACATCACTGGCAATAGACGACGTGAAGAGGAACAAGCTAGTAGGGCAGACCATGATGAAACAAGAATGCCCTAGGACAGGGTAGTAAATCTCTCACGGCGAAAGAAGCGGGATATCGTCGTTCCTTCTGTGGGGAAAGTGTTCACGGTGAGTGCGTGTGTTCAACGAGCACTCTTGCATGGCAACGACTGTTCCGAGATCATTTAGATAAACCAAATCTCAATTACACATCACTTACTTCTAAGGTGGATTTTTGCATCAGTGAAAGTGCCATTCCATTTTGTACATTAGGGCCAGCAATTAATACCCCTACTCATTCATCAAACCTGAACTCGAAAAAATGACGTCATCCAATGTTCCATGCTAAATTGACAATCCTTTGACTGCAAACGGCTGCCAAAGTTTCCCTAATTCGTCTATTTCCTTAATTAACAGGTTTATGACTGGACGCAGAAAACTGATGATAGCGCTGCATATGCTCGCCTCAAAGCATTTTTTTAATACACCGTATTCGAGGGGCACCGAATTTCTGTCGTATTCCTGAACGTATTGTATACATATGAAACCCTTAATGAGATGGTACCAGGTTATTTTGGGGGTTGGAATGAAAATCGTAGAATAAAGTTTGGTTCTGTAAATTCAACGTTTTCAAATGAATACACTAGGTCGGGGAATCTGACTGTAATTGGGTGCCAGCGAATACGGTCTATTACATGGTCATATATTCATCATGGTCATATATTGATCAAGGTCATATATTCATCACGATCATATATTCATCATGGTCCTATATTCATCACGGCCATAAATTCATCATGTTCATATATTCATCATGGTCATATATTCATCATGGTCATATATTCATCATGGTCATATATTCAACAAGGTCATATATTCAACA